GTCCCTGGCAGCCCTTTAGAAAAGTTTCTGGATGTGCCCCTGCTTCTCAGACATAAAGCCACAATTTGTCCTTTTCCATTTGCAAAATGAACCCATTTTGTTGGATATTCACATTATTTTTGGATATTTTTGCACATAAAGTGAAAGGAAGCAGCTCCTGATGTCTCCATGTGACCAACTTCATCACAACTTCTGGTTAATAATAGCTGAGTTGTCATCGTTTCCTGTCTGAGTGTCACAGAGTCTAACCTTCGATCAGAGGAGACTTGGAGAGGTCTCTCCTGTCCTCAGGGAAGGACTCCAGCAGTTTCTTAAACAGCCGGCCCAGATCGGAATAACTCCGGTGCAAGTATAAGATGTTCCTGTCGGACCACTCGGTTCGGATCTCGAAGAACTCCTCTTCCTCTCCGCGCTGGCTGATGATGAGCCTCCGGGTCCCGTTGACCCAGCAGTCCCGGACAAACATGTTGACCAGAGACGTCCCTTCAAACACGGCTGATGCCATTCCTCAGCTCAGCGCGTCAGTCCCAGAGGCATGCTGGAGCTAAACTTTTCCTCCAACACAAAATCGCATTCCAGAGAAAGAAGAAAAAAAAAAGAAAGAAAGAAAAAAGGAAAGGCAACCCGAGTTTAGTGTCAGCCGTCTGTGAGCGTCAGACAGCTGCAGCTGAGTATAAAAACAGGAGGAGGAGGAGGATGTTTGCTCAGCCCATCACAGGCTTGATCTAACGTGGCATGACTTGGAGGGAAGAAAAAAAGACTAGAGACAACACTCCCACCAAACTGATTTGCCTACATCTATAGTATCCACTGTCATCATGAAGAAGTTCTAATAAGTATTTAATATAAAAAATGTTGGAGAGGAAATATCTTCTTTGTTGTTCCTAAATTCAAAAAGTCTGGAATTTTTTTTAAAAAGTTTCTTTTCCTTTTCAGTACACTTTCCTCCCCTCTGCTTCCTTCCTTCCTCCCTCCTTGACAGCAGCATATAATTATGCATGGAATGCAAAAGTCTGCAAAACAAAGTCTATTTAAGACAACTGCACTTTTTATTCTTTATTTTTTTCTAAGCCTTGGTTTTATTAACTACGTATTAATGACCCTATTTAGAAACGCCTTGCAGCTTTAAATGATATGTTTGAAGATAAATGTTGGAAAATCTCTGAGCCGAAGCTGCTGAAACTTGATTCAGTCCTRAAACAACTTTTGGGTGGATTTAAACTGACAAGAGTTATGTTCTGTGGGTTTCTTTGTGCTGATTAAGCATTTCATTCTTTTCGTTTATATTTTGGAACATTTTACACCCATCTGTGGTCATTTGAGTCTAAATTATTTATGTGAAGCAAGGATCCAGAGACAGTACTTTAGTATATTATCATTAGAATAAAGTTAGAATAAAATGCACTGTAAAACTCTATACGTTGCTTCAACGTTCAAATATATTTTAAAGAGCTGTAATTACTGTTTATGTTAAGTGAAAAAAACTGTTCTACTAATGTAATCTAGATTAGAACTCATTTTTGTGCTATTTTTGGTTGATCTGGATTAGATAATTGGCTGAATTCCAGGTGGCTGTTTAAACTTGCAAATCTACTTCAGTTGAATTAAAATGGGAAACTTGTGTTTCAACAAAGCTGGCAGGGAAATGAGTTACACATATTTATTT